GGAACCACTCTCTGAAGTACCCATCTGCCAAAGGCTGCACTCGCAGAGGAAAAGGAATCTAGATGGTAATGTCTGATGAAGGGTGACAGAGATGCCCATGTTGCTGCTCTGCAAATTTCTTCCAGGGGTGCCTGGGTGACCCAGGCAGCTGAAGTCACAGCACTTCTGGTAGAGTGTGCTGACAGACCCTTGGGCACCGGGAGAGCTGTAGACTTGTAGGCCTGTACAATACACGCTCTGATCCACCTACTTAAGGTGGGAGGGGAACCCTTGTTCCCCAAGTGCAATGGGGAAAAGGATACAAACATAGCTTCAGTTCTTCTAAAGGCAGAACTGTGTTTGAAGTAAATTCTAAGTGTTCTCCTAACATCTAAGGTATGCCACTTATGTTCTAAGTCATGGCGCGGCAAGCGCAGAAATCTGGCAACACGATGTCCTGCAACCTGTGGAACCAGGTATTAACCTTCGGGATGAAGATGGGATCTAAACGGAGAACAACTCTATTATCATGAAAGGTGCATAGATCATGTCTGACCGAAAGAGCAGCCAGCTCAGTCACCCTTCTAGCAGATATGATTGCTATAAGAAAAACCACCTTATGAGTCAAGAATTGAAGAGACACTGACTAAAGGGGTTCGAAGGGAGGTTCTGTCAGGGCCTGGGGCACCTTCGGAAGGTCCCAAGAGAGATACCTGTGTACAACTGGAGGGTGGAGGATGGAAGCCCCTTTCAAGAATCTCCAGACAGAGGGGTGGTGAGACAAGGCAGGAAAGGTTTCTCAGGAAAGAACTGAGGAAAGGGCTGCTACCTGGCGACGTAGGGTGTTAGGTGCTAAACCCTTCGTCTGTCTTGAAGGAAACCTCTGCTACCTAAGCTGAGGTAGGATTGAGGCCCTCCTTCAAACACCATTGACAAAAAGCCCTCTAGGTAGCATCATAGATGCACGTTGTAGATGGTTTACAAGATGCCTGGATGATGAGGATAACCCTCTCTGGGAGATTAGCCTCTCTCAAATGTTGCCACTCAAGCGCCACATGATCAGTTTGAACCACTGGGGATCTGGGTGGAGCAAGGCTCCCTGATGGAGTGAGATTTTGTTGGCTGGGATCCCCCAGGGAGTGGCTATAGACAGGTTCACCAGGTCTGCAAACCAGGGCCTCCTGGGCCAATGGGGTGCAGGAGAATTAGCTCTGGCCGTTCCTCCAGCATCTTCCAAATAACTGCCGGAATGATGGAAAGAAGGGGAAAGGCAAAGAGGAGATCCCTGGGCCATCTGCTCCGAAGAGCATTGAAGCTTAAATGTAGACATAAATTTTAGAACTTAGAAATATGTGGCATCAGAACTTGCTAATTATTATTTTAAATGTGGTATCTCTAATTTAATATATTGGATCATTTTTGTTTTTATTAAGTGTATTTATCTATTATATAGATTTATATAATAGCAATTGACACAGGCAAGCAATAAATAACTTTAATTATTAAAAATAAGTTAAAGAATATGGAGTACGTGGAACACAACTCAAATACTAACAGCCAAACTGGCTCACCCAGTACACAGGCCTAAAATTATAGGAAAAAGCAAAGTTTCTAATGTCTTACAGAAACTCAGAAAAGCCGGCACCATTCAAATCTTGGGTTATATGATGTTCCATAGGGCAGAGCATATCATTTTCCGTGAACATGATAGAAGACATGCCTCCTGCCTCCCATTAGATGACATCTCTTAATGGATGGCATCTGTAGCATGCTCAGCCTGACAGAATTCATTCACAATAACATTTTTTATGCTTATCATTTTTGTCACCTAGCCTTTCTAATGCTTTATCTGATTAAGTTTATATACTGAAGCAAATAAGATCATCATGTTTTCCAGTAAAGCTTATAGCAATAAGTAATTGTTTATTATGAGAGTTATCCTGATTTTCTAAGAAGTGTATTTGACTTGTAATGTGAAAGTACAACTGCCACCCTCAACTTTATTGCTTGCAAAGCAAACATCTGCATCCAACTTGATTCTAATTAAATGAGATTATAGGTATTGAAATATTACAAAATGACAAGATATTTTGCATTTTGTGAGTTAAAATTTAGATAATATCTATGAAAAGAGAGAGAAGCAATTCTACTTATACTGAACCATTTATGCAAAATAGTTCCAATAGGGAATATATTGCTTTTCAAATTCAAATGTTTCCATTCTGAATAGAATAGAACAGAATAGAATAGAATTTTTTATTGGCCAAGTGTAATTGGACACACAAGGAATTTGTCTTGGTGCAAATGCTTTCAGTATACATAAAAGATACATTCGTCAAGAGTCAAATCATACTAGGAAACAGTCAATATAAATCATAAGGATACAAGCGACAAAGTTACAGTCATAGAGTCACAAGTGGGAAGGGATGGATGATAAGGAGTGATGAGAAGATTAATAGTAATAATAATGAATTATAGCAGTGGTCCCCAACCTTTTTTGTGCCGCGGCCTGGTACCGGCATCACAAAATCATCTGCGGCCCGGTACCAGCATCAGCATGCATGGCAAGGCGAGCCGAGCGACCGGCCAACCAGCTGTCCCCCACTTCTCCCCGCCACCTTCAACTCCTCCTTTGTACCTGTGTCGATGGGCTTCACGACAGCTTCAGGACGGTCGCTCGGCTCGCCTTGCCATGTGTGCTGAAAGAATCCTCGAGCCTTAGTTTTGTCCGAAGCGCCCCCCCTCGATGAAACTAAGGCGTGAGGATTCTTTCAGCACCCAAACGCCGCTTTCTACCTGGAAAAGCTCACCGGAAGCACTTTTTCATCAAAACAAGATGGCGGCGCCCAGCAAACTGGCGGCCCAGTAGAAATTGTTCCACGGACCGGTACCGGTCCGGAGACCAGTGGTTGGGGACCCCTGCATTATAGGATCAAATAAAATCCTTTCCATTATTCCCAGGGGTGGTATTGGACCGGTTTGGCCCAGTTCTGGCGAGCCGGTAGGAGCGATGAGCAGGGGAGACTGAACTGGTTCTCTCCACCGCTCTGCTGTTGGGCCCCAATTGAATCCCACCACTGATTATTCCACATGTGAGATACAAACTTTCATAAGCATGTTTTCATAGAATAAAAGAATAAATGTTTGTGCCTGGAACAATCAAAGTATTTAGAACTACAGATTCTACATTGATTCTGGAAAGGCATGCTTTCAGTTTTTGAATAAAATATATAGACATGCAAAAATGCCTCATGAGGGTCAACAGTGGAACTTGTACAAGTAATTCTGGTATTTATTTCAAATTGCTTTTGATTTTAGCAAAAACTGCCTATATTCACACTTGAATTTTCAAGACTAAGCCATTTAAAACAAGAATGGTCAAAATTTCAGTTTGTAAACATAATCATCCATTCATCTAGGAGACTAAATTATCCAGGTTTTGAAGCTTATTTAAAAATAGAGGCATATACATATCAAGGTGATATATTCCAAAATAATGGAACCTTCCCTCCCTCAAAAATGTTTACCTTTAATATTTACTAGCCTAGTCAATCTTTTTGTTAGGATTTTATGATAAAATTCATGTATTTCTACTTTAAATATACTAGCTGAGTTACCAGGGAACATTTTTTAAACAAGAGTACTGTATTATTGAAATATACTAGTACTCCAGAATTTTTTTGGGAGTACAAGTATATTCCGTAGGAACATATATTTATAGAATTTGTCTTTTCAAAGGAAAAAGAGTGAACATGGCATATCACAGGAAGAAGGGTATTCTCGACCTGACCTCCTTTAAGGGCAACGCTGAAACATAATCCAAAAACTCAGCAACTACATGAACCACAGTATTTAGTAGATGAACTGTTGGAATTAAAATACAAAGTGGAAAATTATAATTAAAGCACACCAGTGTAAAATTTATATTTTCCTTAAAAGGCCAGTGTTCACAGAAACTCAGGACAGTTTCCCAATATGCTCCATTAATTTATGGGGGGGGGGAAACACACCCGAATGGAGTAATAAAAGAAACACAGAAAGAGCAGAAAATTTTCCTGACAATTAATTTTCCGACACAGATGGTCCTCTTAAACTTACCAACCTCCTCAGATTCACGAATCTCAGTCCGGCTAAGAACAATAAAACCAATGAAAGAAACCTCTGTACATTCAGAGAAGAAAGGCTACATTTCTTCTGTTGCTAAACACATCCCAAACACCCCCAGGTTCTTACTTTCTCCTCATCCGATACCCGATCTTCGAAGTCCGCCATTTTGGCTCCTATCAGTCTACCGCCCCACTTGTCACCACGCGCACGGCACGTCGGGAGGGGGGAACTTGAGGGCGGAGCGAGAAATTCGCCGGCCGGATGTCAGCGGAGCGGATGTGGCCCGCTTGGTTAGGTTACTGCCTTGTTAGGAAGAGGAGGATTCGCGGTGTCAACTGGGGCTTGTGGGCGCTGCCTGCCATGCTGGGCGCCTAAAAAGAACAATTTATGAAACAATTTTTGATGCTATCCTACACCTCTCATTAAGGGCGCCTCCCCGACCCAATCCCAATTTTTTTGCTCAGCCAATAGCTGCATCCGAACCACTTTGGTCCAAATTGCAAGGCAGCGTTTCATGAGAATTGTTTTTCTTTCCTTTCTTTTTTCAATTTCACTCCAAATGACCGTTTACGCGCAAACAATAAACCTGGTGCTCAACCAAGTCCTGATTTCTTAACGGGCCTAATCAGAAAATCAGTATATGCTAATATGTCGGCATATCCCGGGCAAGATGTAGCTGGGTTCAAAAGGGTTTCCCCTTAACAGCGCGAGCAGGATGGTAGTCCCGATGAAGCAAATAGGACAGCTGCTCGTCTGAAAGCGAATCCGAACGGGGAAGAGAACAGGGAGCTGGCGGAGGCGCCTACCCGGCTCCGCAGCTGCCTGCTGCTCGTACCGGTTTCCATCAAACGGGGCGAAGCGGCTTGGGCGGCGCGCCTGGTTGATCCCGCCCTCCTGCCTGCTTCAGCCAGCCAGGCCCGAGGGCGGGAGTGATGGCGGAGAGTACCCCTGTGAATGAGGATGCTGCGCCGTCTCTCTCCCAGTCGCCTGGCCTTGGGCCCGGCCCTCGGCGGTGGGAGCGGCTGAGGCTGGCTGCAGGGCCCTGGGCGCGGTCATTTGGCTTCCTGGCGGTGCTGGGTCTCCTTTATTTGTTGCGGGGCCCGCTCCGGTTGCGGGACAACTTAGTGGCAGGTAAGGGAACGGTCGCGCCGGGATTGTAAAGCAGCTCTGTGGGGGCAAAGGAAATAAAGTGGCGGGGACGGGGGAAGCCTACGGCGGTCTCTTTAAGGTCGGGATCAAGGAACCGGTTTTGAGGGAGAGCCGAGCCTGCCAAGTCGCTGCCAGTTTTGTATTGGTAATCTTGGAGTGCTGGAAGAACTTTGCACATGATCAGAGATATTATCTCTAAGATACTCGGAGATTACTCATGAATGAGACTCATTCATGCTGGATTTGAATCCTGGTGATCACAGTTGATGCTAGGGCGCTTATTTATGCCAAGCAGAGTTTGGGAAGTGTTGTATTTTGAGGGAAGTAGTCTAAGAAAAATTAGAATAAATAACAGAGGATTCCCCCCCCCCCCTCAGATTCTCACTTTCAGCTTTTGCATATTTTTTTCCTCTAGTGTGCATTTTTAAATGCTTCCACTCTCCAGAGGCCTGGTTACTTCTAGCAGTCATCTGCCTCTTGAATTCCCCACTTTTCATCAACAGTATTGTATTTAATTTAAAATTTAAAATAATTTAAAAATATTTTGGTCTGTGCTTTCCTTTTAAAAAAAATTGTTCATTTTGGTAATCCCTGGAGGGTGAAAAGTTAACTAAAAGAACTGTCAAATGCCTAGTGTCATCAAAAACCTGGTCTTAACTTTACGCACTTTAATTAGAAAATGGCAAATTGGTAAGCATTTCTCATCCAAAGCTCGTTTTCTTTTTTAAAGAATTGTCAACTTATTTTAACTAGAGATTAACAATTCTAATTTGTATGTTACTTGATAACTACTACTAGAGATTTTTTTTTCAAAAAATATTACTATTGAGTGTAGTGCATTTTACTATCAAGTTATGCATAAGATTACAAATTTAACAGCAGGTATCTATAATAAAATGGTAATATGTTTCTCGCTGATAACCTTAAATGTTCTATGTGTTTGATCAAAGATACTTGGAAAGGACACTTACTTCTCTGCCCCAGGGAAGCAAAATGCAATGTTTTTTATTCCTTTGGATGCCATATAGTGCTTAATGTCCTATCTCTAATTTACTGGCTGAATGTGATGTTTGCTCTATGTATACATTGTCACTTCAAATGCAGTGAAAGAACCTTTTGCTGTAGATGAAGCTAACTACTAATTATATGACATTAGCATGATCTGTCAAATGTTAATCAACTATTGTAACTGGATCTGATATTTTTAAAAAACAATCTTTTAGAGCATGAATAGTCTAAAACCCTAAACACTATGGTTGAATTTGCATTATATGCTAAGTAGGGTTTTAGGAACATGTGCATTGTTTTTTACCCCCATACAGTGCTTCTTAATTGGGTTTGGAAGTTTACTGGAATCCAAACATGGAAGATCTATTATTTTAAATACATAGAATTGAAACCTATAATAGCCTTTGACATCATAAACTAAGTAGGTATGTTTGAGGAATTATCTGTATAGCTTAGATTATACAGCTAAATTCTAACCAGATTTATTCATAAGTAAGTTCTACAATACATGGCAGCCAGTTTGATATATTGGTTAAAGATAGCAAGGTAGAAACTGAGAATATGGGTTTCAGTCCTGCATGGGGCTGGGTAACTTTGGATCAGCCACTGTCTCAGCCCTGGGAAGAAGCCAGTGGCAAACCACTTCTGTAAAATTGCCAGAAAAACTGCAACACGCAAACAGATGGCAGGAATCAGTCAAAGAGACAAGCAAACAAGAGAAACGCAATTCTCCCTACACAATGTAATGAGTTTATTTTTGATTAGTTCACCACTGACTTGAATTGAATGGCTTCATATACTTTGTTTCTACATGTTTTAAATTTATTTTTTAAAAAGAACATACTTAGAACATATGTAGTAAGTCATGGATCATTTAACCATTGTTTATTGGCTAGATTGGCTAGATTTGCACAATATCCTTCTGTAAGAGCCTGAAGACTTGGCTGTGCCTGTTAGGCTGGGAACCCAATGGGGAAGTACCACACTGGAGGTGACTAATAGCAAACCCAACCTCCCTCCTCACTCCCGGCTTCCTTACCTGCTCAACTTTTATTCCCATATCACTGTATCACTGTTTTCTTTTTCATTGCTTATTCTATTGTTCTATAACTTTATTACGGTTATATTTGCACTTCTTTTCGTTTATAACTCTCAAGGTAGAGTTCTTGGATTTAGTCTTACCTAGATAAGGTCTAGGTAATGTTTATTCACTAAAACATTACAGGTATTTTCAGCTATTTATTTTAAATTATTGAATTTTTCTAAATAGAGAAACTTACTATTAATTCTTAACATTGGCTGGGAGAATACAATGTGTTGTGATTAGTATGAATTCAGACAGTTTGGTTGTTTTAGCCATGGTTTATATTGTAATATGTGTGAACAAGACCACTTGCCTTAATTAATATATTCATCATTTTCTTAGCCTGAAGATTGTGAAATCCAACTGTGTTAACCAACAAGACTTATCTTTTCATTGGCAGTAACTGTTTTCTTGAGCACGCTGACTCCAAAATTCTATGTTGCACTTACGGGGACTTCATCTTTGATATCAGGTCTGATATTTGTAAGTATTTTTCTGTATTTCTGTGTTCCTTAACTAATCAAGAAATATAGTAGAAGTGAGCTAAATTGTTGCTTAAGTTCATAGTTCTTGAAAGTACTGGCAACAAATTGAGTATTAGAGGAATGCTTCACATATTCATATAAAACTGATTTTATTTACCTCATCGTTTTTCCTGTGAAATTAGTTTCAGTTGATATGAATCTGCCTTAAGTTAATCTTGTCTGGATCCCATCAGTTTCAATTGTCTAAAACTAGCAGCAACCCTGTGTTCATTGAATTGCAAATAAAAGCTTGGTTCCTGCCTGTTTTGAGGATTAAACTATGTTTGCCCCTGCTATTGTTACATATCTGCTCTAAGCAGAGAAAGTAATTTTAAAAACATGTTATATTTATGTATATAGCAATCAGGAATGAATTAGGTATATTTTTAAACTTTTACAATATGCGGACGATGGTGAACATGTCTAATATAATTTTATGTATCATTTCATCAAAGCTGTAGGTTTTTAAAATTAGATTTTATGCAAACTATGCTAGTGCTAAATTGAAAACACAGTGTATCTGGTATACTAGCTGAACTCCAGATGGTGCTATTTGATAGAATAAGAAATATAGTTTTGCAAGGAAAAACCATTTATAAAGTCATAAGAAACTCACCTGTGTTAAATTCTGAAAGTTAAGTGGTTTGTGATTTACTCAGAACAATTATTTATTTGTTTTGATTACGTATATTTCATATGCTGAGGCTCATTTTGTGAAATGGAAAATGAGTTCTGAGATTCCTATGTAGTATAGTACTGATTGACCACTTGAACATGAAGCCAACTATTAACTGTATTTTCTTTCTGACATGAAAAAGAAGCTTTTTGAGATACTGTATTCTGTTTTTATATCTGGTTAGCTGTGAAGAAATTGTCAGTTTTTTCTGTTGAAGGGTAAATGAAAAAGCAGGATAAAAATATTATGTTAATAAAAATGCCAAATCCATTATAAATCTCCCTCCGCGCCATCTCTCCATGTGACCAGTCACAATAATTGCATTCCACATATTTTTCTGTTTCTTGTTCCAGATATTTGAATGGTGGTACTTCAGAAAATATGGCATGTCTTTTATTGAACAGGTTTCTGTGAGTCATTTGCGACCACTCATTGGAGGGGCAGACAATGCTAGTTCTGCACAGGCAAATTTTTCTGCTGCTAGTGGAGACAATGAAATGAACAGACAAAATCTCTCAGGTGATCGTTTCTAATATTTGGCTTCCTATAAATGTAGTTAGTAACTAGCCTTTATATTTTATTTATGAGATTTTTATAAGGGAGATACATACGTACGTACGTATGTACATACATACATATGCATGAAAAAGAAATTAAAAAAAAAGATACTGGTTAAGTTTTTTATTAGACAGTATTTGGAATCCTAAAAAAATCTATTAATTGCCAAACTGTGATTTATGATTCAAGAACATCTGTCACTTTTTGTTTTTGTACGTATTCTGCACTAAAAGCCCCTTTTTTCCTTAAAAGAATGGATAATGATTCAAAGTACAATTTGAAAAATCAGAAATAGTACAGACCTGCTCCTTTCTTCATTTTTGCCAGTCTTCTATCTAGCATTTGTTCTAAATCTGCATGATATGTAGTTTAACTGTAAACTGTTATTCATACTTAATTTTAGATCTGTGTGAGAAGCTCATCTCAATTTTAGGCTTACACTAATTTGAAAGATAAAAGCCACTTTGTGGGTAGTGATTAAAGGAGCCAGGCTAGAAACTGGGAAACGAAATTCTAGAGTTGACTGGATGTGTCAATCATTCTCAACCTTACGAAGAAGGCAATGGCACACCACTTCAAAAATATTGCCAAGAAAAACTAGATGGACTTATCCAGGCAGTGGCCAGGTCTCAAACTGACTGAAAGGCACCCCAATTTGAAAGAAAAATTCTTCTCTTATTTTTTTTATACTTGGAGCTACTTTAGATTTAGTGATCTCCCGCTTTCAGATTTCAGAAATATAGCTTTATTAAGTAAGGTTAATTTTAAAACTAAATTATCTTTTTCTAAAACAGAGTGCAAAGTATGGAGAAATCCACTCAATCTCTTCAGAGGAGCAGAATATAACAGGTACCCAATGATTGTATTTCTTTTATACTTTATTTGTTTAAAACAATAAAAACAAAGCCACCAGTTCAAAATTATATCTAATCCTAAACTACTCAAAGATATGGCAGATTAACATTTGCACAGGTAATCATATACATATAATTACTTTCTTCATTTTTTGTGGAAATTATTGTTTGAATGGATACCATGAATTTATCATTTACAGAATATTATTACAAATAATTGTTAACATGAATTTCAGTGTACTTCTATTCTGAAATCCCAGCCAGTTTGGAAATTTATGATAAAGACTTATTCTAAGTCTATTCTTTCTTAGGCTACTATTTAGTCAGTATAGGTCATGATGCACAGGGAAAAAAAGAACAAGCTATTCAGTTAAATATACTTCTAACATTTCTGTTTCTTGTGTTAGTATTGCTTAAGGCTGAAGTATAATATATGCTTGAGAGCTCAATTAGTATTAGGATTAATGGCAATGGTAGAAAATGGGAGACTGAGACAAAGCCAGTGGGGTGTTATTGGGCCATTCACATTCTTAGCTCTAAGAAGAAGACAACCTTGCAAATAAATAAATTAAATAAATAATAAAATGAAAATTTTGCTAAGAAAAGTACATGGATTATTTAATGCACTTGTTTAGGCTCAGGATTGACTAGAAGGCATTAAAGAAAATTTAAAAAGTACTTTCATTTAGAAAGAAACTAATTCTGATACATAGAATTATGGAATTAATAATACTTTTTTTCACTCCTTAAGATATACATGGGTGACAGGAAAGGAGCCACTAACATATTATGATATGAACTTATCTGCTCAGGATCATCAGAGTTTTTTTACCTGTGAAACAGACTCTCTTAGGCCTTCAGATGCAGGTATAATTACTTTATTTTTCTTTGTGAAATAAGAAAAAAGGTAAATAACGATACCACTTATAGCTCTTGTATTGATTGTGAGGTTAGCATCCATGTTTCACTGGCATATGTTAGAACAGGTAGCACACACTGATCAAAAACTTTTCTTTTCAGGCATAGGGAGAGGTTCTTGAAAATTAGCTTACCAAACGCCTGCCAACCACATTTAACACACCATTCAATTTCCTTTATTGTATTACTTTCCATTGAGATTCATTGGTCAAGATTTATGTAGTAGTCTACCACATCTAGTTCTTCTCAGATATAAAAAAATTCTTTCTTTGGTAAATTTATTAAACATAACCTGGCTCTTTTTCATGTTTGTGTTTAAGCCAAAAAAGCTTTCATATGTATTCAACATTTTTCTATACAACAGGTTTTTTTTTCTATACTTGAGGCATCTCAAGTATAGTTTTGCTAGCATCTTGTATAAACTGTGACCACCAGCTTTCATCATTTCAATGTAACAGTAATTTTCTGAAGCTTTACCATTTTTCATTGATTTTATGGCAATAAAATCAATGAAAAATGATTTTAAAGTCAAACTGGACTAATTTCTTTTTAGGGCTGTCTCTCTTGTCTGAAAAATTAAATTAAGTTACTCTTCGGTCTATATGATAGAATACTCTTGTGAAGTTTGTAAATTTGAAATAGTAAAGGATGAAAAATTGTATTATTTATGAATGTCTTTAAAAAATGAGCCCGAGATTTTACAACTTCTGCTCATACTATTTCTCTGTGGGAGTTATATATTACCTAAATATACTTTTTAAAAAAAGAGAGAGAGAGAGAAGAAAAACAAAGGCACTCAGTGTTGTACAACTAATATTTGGAAATTAATGCATTAATGCTTTCCAATTCATCCATCAATCATAGCTTACTGTCTATAAGTTACTCTAGTGATAATGTTCATTGCTAGAAGAATAGTGTTTTTGCTATATTAACGTAGTCTATTATCTCATTAACTAAGCCAAAGCTAACTTTTTGCTTCCAAAAAGTTGTTTCAGCATTTTTCACATTATTCTTTCATTTTCGTTTCCAAAAGAAACATATATAGATTCTTGAATTTTCTTGCTAAAACTAAAGACAATTAGATATTTAGACTGCAATCTTGCATATATTTGTTTTGGAGTTAGCCACAAGGATCTTAGTAGCATTGATTTTGCCATGATTTTTTAATGATTAGGGCAGGTGTAGATATTTTTTCAGGTCACGGTCATTTGCTTATAACTTTTTTTCACAATTAGAGCTTTGTTTTTTGTTTTAAATGAATTTAGCTATTATATCAGACTACCATACTGAGGATCTCTCTCACTTATCCCCTTCCAAGTGAGCAAGAATCTAAGAATAGTACTCTTATATAATAGCTAAATAACCTTAGTGCAAAGCAAAAGAAACAAATTCAAGTCACGTAGTACAAACTGCCTGCCTTAGTGGTGTAGTGGTTAGAATGCAGAATTGTAGGCTAATTCTGCTGACTGCCAGCAGTTCAATTCTGACCTGCTCAAGGTTGATTCAGCCTTCCATCCTTTCAAGGTTGGTAAAATGAGGACCAGATTGTTGGCGGCAATATGTAGCTCTAAACCGCTTAGAGAGGCCTGTAAAGCACTATGAAGCGGTATGTAAATCTAAGTGCTGTTGCTATTGTTATTGGCAGGAAGAAAGAAATAATTAGGATCATTTGTAAAACAAAATTGTGTGTGAGGAATGTAATTGCTACTTTTGTATGTTTTTGTTAATCACTTTTTAAACATTTTCTTGTTAGAAAACATACATAAAATTCAGTTGGACATTAATTTTCACAGAAATGTGTAGTATTCTCTTAAAGTTAGTTTTATTTTTCTGAAATGTGTTCCTTGCATGAACTAATTAACTAATTTTTATATAAATTATTATGTTTAAATAGTTATGCAGAAGGCATGGCGGGAAAGGAATCCTCAGGCCCGAATCAAAGCAGCACATCAAGCTTTAGAATTAAATAATGAGTAAGTTTTCATGCTCATTCTAAACCAGGTGTGTCGAACCTATGGCCCAAGGACAGCTATTAATGCAGCCCCACAAGATATTGTGAAAAATGTACAAAAATAAAGGAAGCTTGTTATTTATATATGTTAAGTATATTATATACTTTATACGTGGGCCAAGACAACACCTCTTTGCTCTGTGTGGCCTAGGCAAGTGAAAAAGTTGGTATACCCATGGTCTAAAAAGAATTGAATTAAAATTCTGAATTTTAGAATTTCAGTTTAAATATAAGGCATAAATATAAGTTGTCCCTTGTTCAGTTCTTTAAATAAGATACAATATTTTTTTGAGCCTGAACTCTTCAAATGAAGTATGAAGTGATAATGTGAAGATAACTGGATGTGTTTCTGCCATTCAGTTCTTTAAAAGAAAGTGCACAGTGGAAGTCAACATATGCTTCTTGGCTATATATTAAATACAGTGAGTGAACTAGGAAAGCACATGCCTTACTCAGACTTATTACACATTTCCTATTCAGAAAATCTTAATTGCTGTTATTATAATATCCAAATTCAAAATAAATCCTAAGTTTGTTTCTCTTTAAACACAATATTTTGTTGTTTATTTATTAATACACCATATGACTCACTGGGTGGCTTACAGAATTTTTCCTTTTCCTTTCAGCTGTGCCACAGCATACATTCTTCTGGCTGAGGAAGAAGCAACTACTATTTTAGAAGCTGAAAAATACTTTAAACAAGCTCTGAGGGCTGGAGAAACAGTTTATAAAAAGTCTCAGCATAGCAGTTCACAAAATCCACACCATGAGGCACAGCTTAGTAAGTATTGTTGCACAAATTGTTTAAAATTGGTAGATTTGAGATTGGTCTCGCTGTAATCTTTAACACAAAGGCTAATACTTTTTCACTGATACGGGGTTAAAAACAATATAACACAAAATTGTAAATCTTAGGTCTTCCAGTTTGAAGGGCTTTGGTGACAGACAGAAATCTGTGATCATGCGCGGTTTCTGTCTGGGCTCGCCGCTGGAGCGCCCCGAGCCGGCTGGTTTGGGGGCTAAGCCACCCCGTAGAGGTGGTGAAGAGGGGGGAGACCACCAGCAGGGTTGAGGAGAGCCGCATCTCTCCTCCTCAGCTGGCCATTACTCCCTTTCCCGAAGGAGGTTGCAGCGGTGGTCAGAAATGGCCACCACAAAGAAGAACTCGACCAGAAAAGAACGTGCAGGAGGAAGATAAGAAGTGAAAGTTTTGGCTGACTGGGTTAAATTGTAAAAGCATCAACCAAGGTACCCTGGAATTAAAACCTACAAAAAATAACATCGCTCCCAAAGAAGAGTTGGAAGCAGCGAAGGAAAGTGAAAAGGGAAAGGTTTGGCTTTTTTTTTTCTTCTCTCTCCTTCCCTATACTGACAATTAAGAGACTTAAATAAGAAATTGGAAAAATCCGCTTTGACATCAATAGGCAATTAAGCTGAAAATAAAACAAAATGCCAAAGGGATAATAAAGATTTCTGGACATTAAAAACTTCTTTTTTCATAAGCCGGAAGGGAGAGAAAAAGAATAATGGCAGGATCTGGAAGAGGGAGGAGACTGCTTGGAATTAAAAAGAATCTAAAGTAAAACTTCAACAAGACTTCTAAAAGATACATTTTAACTGAAACTTTGCAACTAAATAGTAACCCCAGGAAGAGAAAGTGAAAAAAAGAGCAAAAAAGAAACAGCTTGCATGTATTTGGATTATTTGGTGATCTTTGGATTTCTGGTTATTATATTTGAATGACTAAAATCAATTGGGTGGTTGTTTAAAAATTTATACAATGGCACCACTTCTGGATGAATTGAAAATGGAACTTTAAAAGTACAAAGAAGATGCACAAGAAGGGAAGGGTTCTTTTGGCCGCGTTTTTCAATTCTTAGAAATGGAAATTTGGAACAAGAAAAGACTGCAAAACAAGAAGACTGGGACAAAGAAGAAGCCATCTTTAATGAACAAGTAATTCTATGTGGGGAAGAAAAAGGAAAGGGGGGAAAGAGAATGGAGAATTTAAGACTTAAAAAAAAAACCAAAGAAAAGAAAAATAATTCAAAAAATAAGTATAATACTGGAAAGCAACAGAAAAGGGGAATACAGATGAGAGAAATCGAGGTAGGTAGACAAGGGGGTAAAAAGGGGAGAGAGAAGAAGAGAGGGAAGAAGGAAAGGAAAAGAAGTTACAAAGGACCGGAGCAAAATATAGAGAAAGAGGAACTATTTAGAGATAATGGATAATCTAATTGAAAAAGGGATTCTGTAAAGGTACGTAAGATTGTATTGTTATATTAGTAATAGAAATAACTTTAGGAAATTGAAAACAACGTATGATTAAAATGAGGGATAAAATAGTTAGTGTAATTTAGTGAAATGTTTGTGAATAAAATAAGTGAAATAAAATAAATGAGAAAATTGAATTAGAAAGGAATGGGAACATTTTAATTAGTTAATGTTTTATAAAATATAAGTGAAGTGGGAATTAACTATGGAAAGCTTATAATAGTTCCCATAGAAGTATGATATTTAATTGAAAAGCAATGTTAAAGATGTTAAGACTTTAATGAATATTAATATTAATGATAGAATTGAATTGGAATGGAATGTTGTTTTAATTATATACATTTATAATTTTTTTTCTTTTTTAAGAATACAGTGTGTATTTTAAGAATGTACCAAGCAGAATCCGAATGGAAGTTATGTATTATATTGAATGTTACAACTTTAGGGAAAAGATATAAAGGCGTCGTACTCCAATCAGTAACTACAGGAGAAATTTTGTTTAATGAGAAAAGATAATAGATAATTGAAACAGGTCAGACAAAAAATATAAACACAATGATTTGAATTGAGATGAGATAATTAAAATAAAATTGAGACAATTAAAAGAGGGGAGAAGCTATGCAGAAAATGTAAAATAGTAATAAGATATGGAATAGAATATAAAAACGAGCATACCTGAATTTGTGTCTGTATGAAGAAATGTAACCCGGGATTATGCTGCTTTCAAAAAAGGTGTTTTATTTGTATTTTTTTTTCTCTTTGTGAAAACTCAAATAAAATTTACAAAAAAAAATTTGTAAATCTTAGATTAGAACTGATTATTGTACATTTTATTGTACTGCAACAGAAAGCAGTAAAATTGACCTGACTGAGCAACCTATGAGTGTCCATTTGACAGATAATCTGTCAAGTCCAAAGATGACACAGTAAAATCCAGTTGAGTCCAGTGCTTTATTTGCTTCAGTGTTTATTTGCCAAACTAAAGTTCTACCCTAATAGCCTAAGATTCTAGGGTGTGGCTACTCCAAAACTTTTTCCCCTTTCCCATCCAGCACAATGCCTTAATTTTTGATTTTCTCTGAAATCCTTTTCGGTTGCCTTTTCCCTAAGAAACCTATGCTTCAAACATTCCCCTCTGCTTCTTCATGTGCACATGCCATCACATCTTCCTCAATGATTCTTTGTCCAGCAAACATTCAAAGTTACAAGAACGATGAATGAATGAAAATTTAAAAGAATATCTCTTTTATTTTTTATAAACACAATCTTTATGTATATAGCAACATCTGCATAAAATGTATTTCACCCAATGTAATAGTATTCTATTAGAATCCCATTTATAGTGAGTATTAAAAATGAAAGTAAAACATGTAATATTTACTGGTATTCTCTGCATTTTACATTTTTATCATCAGTAAGTATCTTTATACAAAATAATAAGATATACTGTACATATGTAAATAAAACCTCAGAGATAGATAGAATTATTTATTAGCCAAGTGTAATTGTACACAAGGAATTTGTCTTGGTGCATATGCTCCCAGTGTACATAAGAGAAAAGATACATTTGTCAAGAGTTAAGAATCATAAGGTACACTTAATAATAGTCATAGGGTACAATAAACAATCAGATCATACTAGGAAACAGTATAAATCATAAGGATACAAGTGACAAAGTTACAGACATACAGTCACAAGTGGGAAGGATGAGTGATGAGAAGATTAATAGTAATAGTAATGCAGACTTTGTAAATAGTTGGACAGTGTTGAGGGAATTATTTGTTTAGCAGAGAGATGGTGTCCGGGGAAAAAACTCTGATTAATGTCAATTCTTCAATGTAGTCTGGCTGCCAATTGTTGTTAGTCGTTTGGTTCATACTTCCATGCTGTCCAGGATGCATCATGAGAAGGCGAACTAGCATCATACCCCTACCTAACAATTTTGACATCAACACATAGTGGAAAGCCAAATGGGCAGTTACATAGATGACCCTACACAAAAGGTGCCAGGTTCTGACCTTCCTCGCCAGCATTGGTCAACTCTGAACAGGATCCGTATCCAACGTGGTGTCTGCCAGGACTCATTGTTTAAGTGGGGTCTTGTCTCTACCCCTCAGTGTGGCTGTGGTGCTCCTTGACAAAATATTAATTTTGAACATTTGAAATACTATAAGTACATGTATTTGTCATATGCTATATAAGTAAACCTCAGAGATAATGGTTAGTTTTGACAATGATACATTAGATGAATCTCTTTTCAGGAAGAGACACCAATGTATTGGTATATGTGAAAAGAAGACTAGCTATGTGTGCAAGAAAGCTTGGAAGAATTAAAGAAGCAGCAAAAATGATGAGGGATGTAAGTAAGATATTTACATGGACGTGTTTAAAGAAATAGTGTTTTTTCATTTTCTCATTTTTAGTTGTTTTAATTTATTAGGTAAAAGAAGATTTATAATGTATTGTGATGAATAGAATAGAATACTTTAGAATACTTTATTGACCAAGTGTGAATTTTTCTTGGTGTAAATACTCTCAGTATACATAAAAGAAAAGATACATACATCACGAGTCGAGAATCATAAGGTACAACACTTAATGATACTCATAGGGTACAATAAGCAATCAATCATACTAGGAAACAGCCAATATAAATCGTAAGGATACAAGTGACAAAGTTACAGTCATACAGTCACAAGTGGGAGGGGATGGGTGATGAGTGATGACAAGATTTAACAGTAATAGTAGTGTAGACTTTGTAATAGTTGAACAGCGTTGGAATTATTTGTTTAGCATAGTGATGACTTTTGGGGAAAAAAACTGTCCTTGTGTCTAGTTGTTCTGGTGTGCAGTGCTCTATAACGTCGTTTTGAGGGAAGGAGTTGAAACAGTTTATATCCGGGATGTGAGGGGTCTGTAAATATTTTCACAGCCCTCTGACTTGTGCAGTATACAGGTCCTCGACTGAAGGCAGGTTGGTAGTAATTGTTTTTTCTGCAGTCCTAATGACTCTCTAAAGTCTGTGTCTCTCCTATTGGGTTGCAAAACCAAACCAGACAATTATAGAGGTGCAGATGACAGACTCAACCATTCCTCTGTAGAATTGGATCAGCAGCTCCTTGGACAGTTTGAGCTTCTTAAATTGGTGCAGAAAGAGCATTCTTTGTTGTGCTTTTTTGATGACATTTTTGATGTTAGGTGTCCATTTTAGGTCATGTGATATAGTAGAACCTAGAAATTTGAAGGTCTCTACTGTTGATACAGTGTTGTCTAGTATTGTAAAAGGTGATAGTATGGGAGGGTTCTAAAGTCTACCACCATTTTTACTGTTTTGAGTGTGTTCAGTTCCAGATTGTTCTGGTTACACCACGAGGCAAGTTGTATAACTTCCTGTCTGTATGCGGATTCATCGTTGTAAATAAGGATGGTTTAAATTTGCATAGTAAGGGCATGTAAATTGAACTCAAAACACTGAGGATGATTTTGAGTATGAAATAGATGTAATTAATTTGAGATAGCAGTTTTTGAAATTATTATACTTCTATCTGCCACAGTCAAAATGACTATTGTCAACTTATAATCTTCATAACTTGAAAATTGATTTTTTTAATTCACAGTATTTTTTACATCAGTATTGTGTATTAATGTTTTTTTTAAAAAAATGATTTTGGATTATGATAGCCTGTACCTTCTGATTCATTTGGATGTTAAGGATTATTAGGATGCATTTCCAGTCATTTTTACTTTAGGACTTTTCCATTTAGATGACTTTGCTTGTTTTAAGAGTTGTGTTGGATTTTGTGACTTGGTGTCAGTTTAAATGAAATCACAGCTTATTTTTTCTCTTGTACTGGTTGGGCTTGTGAGTGGAATAGCTGCATGTTGGCAAGAAATTTTGCTTGCCCTCTTCTGCCTTTCAGCTTCTGGCACTAAAGAAAACATTTGGAAATTTGTATTGTCTACATCTCTGTAAACTACACTCATTTTTACCAAAACTTTAATTGTACATAAAATATTTTCCTTCCCCTGTTTATAGTTAATGAAAGAATTCCCTGTCTTAAGTGTATTGAATATCCATGAAAACCTGCTAGAAACACTTCTGGAACTACAGGCTTATGTGGATGTCCAGGCAGTTCTAGCAAAGTATGATGGTAAGAATGTATAATTATTATGAACTTTATGTTTCTGCATTGGCAATAAACAGTGGGAATGGGGAGGGTAATAAGATTGTGTAGGAGAGAAAATTAGGTGATGGTGATTGTTTGACATAAAGAAGACTGTGGTAAGTAAATGAATGTTAGGTACACATATTTATGAAGCAAAATCACTGGCTATGTGGATCTTTAGTAATCAAGAAGAATAAAAGTTATAGATAATACCAAACTGTGAAATAAAATAGTAACTTGCAACTGGTTCAAAAGAGTAGAATATAGATCATGCATTTCTCTCTTTGTTGTAGCTATAATTCAAATCATAACAAGGGAAATTTGTTTTAAAACTACATATAGCCTACTTTTGTGAAGTCCCTACCCTTAGGCGGATCACTTAACACAGGGGTGTCAAACTCAAGGCCCAGGGCCTGGGGCCGGCCTGTGGTGTACTTAGTTCTGATCTGCAGGGGATGTCCTAGAAACAGCAAAGGACCGGCCCATGATGCTACTGCCTGCCAAAATGGAGCTTGGGAGCCCGTTTTGCTGGCAGAGCGCTTGAGCAACCACAGTCCCCCCCCAACACGAGTGACATTGAGCTGGCCATGCCCACCCTGGCCACACCCATCCCAGTCCCCTCAGGTCAAGCACAACCCTGAAGTGGCCCTCAATGAAATTGAGTTTGACATTCCTGACTTAACATAACAAAAGCTCCTTAGGTCTGTTTGGAGCGCTGAACTTTTGTTGTAGAAATCCATTATTAAATATTACTATATTCATTGTTACCTCATTTATATCCTGACTTTTCTCTTGGATTCTCAACATTGTAGATCATTTTTATTTCTACACATTTAACTGGTGAGTTAGGTTAAATTGAGAAAAAGTAACTGCTGAGGGTCACTTAGTGAGCTCTGTGATCAGGTGGGGACTTGAATCTCTTTAGTTCAAAACCGAATGATTGGGGGTTTTAAGTCTTCCCCTCCGCCATGAATCTAATGATCTTCCATTGTTAATTTTGGATGGGTTAACAGTTCTTCAGACATGGTGCTTGATCTGGAATCTTTGCACTAGTGCCTTTAGCAGGTGTGACCAGGTAGGCCTTTGCACAAATGCATCCTATGCTCCATTTGCACCCATTCCTGGATTGGGAGGCAGTGGTCATTGTCACTCATACCCTAATCACTTGCCAGTTGGGTTATTGCAGTGCACTGTATATGGGGTTGCCCTTAAAAAGCATTCAAAACCTTTAGGTGGTCCAGAATGATGCAGCACATGCAGTATTGGCCCCATGTAACTACTGCCAGATGAGCTATCCTGGGTCCCAGTATGCTTCTAATTTAGAGTATATGGGTTGAGGTCATTTGCATGATTGCCAGTGCCCAAAGGTTTCTCTCTCGCATATTAAATCCAGTGGAATGGGCATGCTTCAGGTTCCCTTAGTAAAAGAGTACTACCTGGTGGGGTTTTGGAAGCCAGACTTCCTGATTATAATACTTGCCTTATGAAATAGCTTTGTCCTAGAGATTTCTAAGGTCTCATCCCCAAGGGGCTTTTGAAAAACCATGAAGACTTCTAGGTTTGTAGGAATGTCAATGGAGTTAATGGAACCTGGTGCCTGTAGAGGGACATATTAATAAGGTGCTTTTTATAGTGGCATCAATGTGATTTTTAAAATGGTTGTGTTGTGTATTGTGTTTTATATTCTATTCTTGCTCAGAGTTCCATTAGGAGATGCATGGCTATATAAATTTGTAAAAGCAATCAAACAATCTCCCCAGCCCAAATCTAGTATGCTCACTGCAACACTTGGTTGAATATACTAAATGTGGAAACATTGTAAGAAGTATATAACTGATTTTTGTCTTTCAGATTTTAGTCTCATATATTTAATATAGAGATAATTTCCTGTATAAATAGCTGTTTAGGGAAGGAATGATTTTGAAATGTTTCTTACTTTAGGATCTAAAGACAACAATTTATTATTCCATAGATATCAGCCTTCCAAAATCAGCAGCAATATGTTACACAGCAGCACTCTTAAAAGCAAGAGCAGTTTCAGATAGGTAAGTGAAATATTTGATAGGCATACTGATATACAGAAAGCAGTTATAACACATTTTCATTGTTGCATCATGGCAGTTTTGCTTCCAAATTGATATAAAGGATAACATAAATCAAATGTCTTTTGTGGTCTTTCTTTTTTTAAAAAATCAACATAGCATTTAGCCAATGTTATTATTCTAAAATAATGCCTTTTTTGTAGCAAATCTTTTTCATAAAATCTTTCTTTCCTGCCAAATTGCTGCTAAAATAGCAATTGGAATATAGACATATGCAATATATAGGCCAATGAATTCAATTGTTACCATATATAGTAGATATCCACACTATTCATTTCTAAACAACCACTTCAAAACTGTGTTATGGGAAGTGATGTTATGGGAAGTGATGAAGTGAATTACAAATATTTGGTTTTCTAATTATTTATTCTGAGTTAGCAATGACTTTTGCCAGATGCATACCATCTTATTCAAGCCAAGGGCTACATACAGCCTTTGAGTGAAATGCTGGGAGAAGCATTCAAAAGGGGATAAAACTTGGTTAACATCAAATTGATTTGCTTAAATGTAAATAAAATGACTTAATTAGTTGATATGAATACTATCCATATATTTAAAATTAAAATTCAGAAGAAAATGTTGGGAGGCTTTGGGGGAGCCACACCTAAAATTTTGTTTGCCATTTTGATTTCTGTAGCTATAGGAAGATGGTTTGAGACTATGTAGAATAATTAAAAATGAAGTTTGATTTAGCTTGCCTGACTAGTTTAGCTATATATTGAGTTTATTCAGTGTTTCACAATTCTATTTATGGTTATTCAATAGGTATTTATTCAATAACCCATTGAATAGCCATAAATAGATAGAATTGCAAAACATTAACCACAAGGGCCGGATGCTTACAACTTATCAAGCCAAACAATCTTTATCAATATTTTGCCTGAAACTGTGAAGCAAGGAAAACTTCATGTATCTGAGATGCACATATATATTTATTTGATAAGTAGAAAAAAAGCTTTATTGGATTACAATTTTCTGGTATAAGGACATTAATATTACTAATTTGAACTTCTGCTCCTATCATTTTTTTCATTGCTTTATCTTTTAAGATGCTAGATTATGGATTGTTTCTGTTTTGTAATATAACAAATTTGGAATATTGCTATAGGTTTTCTCCAGAAACAGCTTCTAGAAGGGGACTTAGCACAGCCGAAATTAATGCTGTAGAAGCAATACATAGAGCAGTAGAATTTAATCCTCATGTTCCAAAGGTAAGTACATCCTTAACATTCCTCACCTCCCTCTTCAGAGACAAGTGCTGATTAAATGCTGATGACATTTAATTAGGATTGAAAGAGGATCTTCACTGATCTTCTAAATGCCAAAAGAATTTGTGTATTTTATAATTTTTTTAAATCATTTCTCTACATAATATACATGAAATATGTGTGAATAGACAACTTTGCAATAAAGCCCATTAAAATAATCAGATAAAATCCAGGAGACAACATGGGGAAAAAGCAAGAGGAAGAAGTTGAACCACCAAAATCCCAAACTTAACTGCCATGGTCAAAAATATTGAAGGCCATTGAATTATTAGGAAAGGCCAGAATGGATACATCCCCCCCAACTCCACAAAAGGACAATCAATGCTGTCATAGTACTATGTCCCAGTCTGAAATCAGACTGGAAAGGTTCTGGATAATCTGCTTCCTCTAGGATTTCTATATATGATTACACTTACAAGTGGGAAAATAATTGTAAATCCCGGTAACCATAATTTTGTATGACCGTTATAAAAAAGCATTCTTTCTATCATTGGCAGTTCCATGGTTATCCCAGTATGTAAATCAAAGGATTCTATCCTTAGTTTGTGTAAGGGAAATATAAAAATATTTATATGAATACATTATTCTTAATTATTTTTGTTCCCTTGAGCAGATTTGGAATACTTAGATTTATTTTTATATAATATAAGTGTAACACATTAAAGTATAATATAAGTGTAACACATTAAAGTAAAATCTGCATTGCCCAATGGGGGGAAAAAACAGAATGAGAAATTTTATGCCCAATTCATTTTTTCCTAAATAAATGTGTATACAGTAATTGGAACTTCAAATAGCCATTGCTGTCACTGATAATATATTACCCTTACAGCCTTAGTAATAGAAGGATGGCTTATCCCTAGACTTAATCCTCTTTTGATAATCAGGGTGTCCAAATAATTCTTTCCTTAAGGTTTGACTTTATTCATCTACTCTCTTGAATATGCATTGGGAGAGCTAATTGCTGTACGGATTTTCTGCTTCCTTGCATGACTGATCAAAAGAGGAGCAAATTCATTTCAGGAGTCTCATTTCTTTACTTCTGCTGTTAGGGTGGGAGACTGGGATGTATTATTATCCAAGAATTAGGTTTCTGTCCTATTCCTTCTGTACTACTGTGTCTTTGAGGAGTTTAATATGTTTTATGTACTTCTGACTGGTATCACATATCAAGAAAACTAGTATCATAGTAATAATTTTATATTCTTATCTAGTATAACTTTCAGAGTTCATTTTCTGTATTATTGTGAGTTATATGTCAAGGGGCTGTGGAAAATAATATGTCAGAGTTTTTAGACCCACTTTTAACTTTGATTAAAAGATTATTTTAATCAAAGGTAACTGTGGGTCTAAAAACTAAACAAACACCAAGCTAATGATTTCATGGACTAAAAACAATAATAGCAGAGGCTGAATATTTGATGCTACTTTCACATTATGACAATGTGTGAATGATTCCTTAGTGGTTTAAAGAAATGATCAAGAAGAATTAAATAGGATTAGTAAGAGTATTGCCCTCCAGTAAATAGACTCAAGCACTAAGAGAAGAATCAGGTAGTAAATGCGTTTGGTTTGACCACTGCAACTTTGCTATATTCCTTAAAGAACTGGAATGGGGAAAGTTAAATCCTCTAAACTGGATTAGTAAATAATTACTTTGTGTATCTGATGGATACCACAACTGATGGATACATTATAACTTGGTTACATTCTTAGAGTTTTGTTAGTTATATTTTTAGAATCAACAGATGTATTGGGTACAATCGAATACTGTACCTAATACTTCAAATATGAAATTGAATTAACTATTACTAAATTGAGTGGGCTAGTTCATAAATTGTAGACGTTAGTAAATTAAATGGTTATAAATATTTGGACTTTCACATGCATAAAATATTTTCAGGGCATGACAGTATTTTGGGAGTGATAAGAATCCGAAATAACACTGGAAGAAAATAGTTATTAGTGTCATTTACAAGTACATTCTAAGTATTTGAAAATAATTTATTATATGCATTTATTTTACTTTCTGCTTCAGGTTTAGAATCAATAATGAACTCAATAAGAAAGTATCTTCAGTTGCAGTACTAGGACTGTTCTGACCCAAGCCTTGTTCAAATTAAACAGATACAAATTGTGTATAAAAGCAAACCTATTTTAATGCGACACTGGAAATTCAGTGCATTCCCAGCCAAGAAATATTTAAACCTAATTGATATCAAAAGCAAGCCCTTTCAAGGTTTCAAAAGGCTGCCAAGAACAGAAGACTAATTACTGATTAAATTCCACTGACAGAAGTTTCAAAAACAAACTGGAGTAAGCAGGGCTTCAATGAAGACTATGAGTCTAAAGAACTTCTTCGCTTCCTGAAAAGAACACATCCCCGAGGGCTGGTTTTTATCCCTTATGGGAGGGGCCATCACCTTCCAGCCTTATTCCCAAGTCACTCTTGCTGCTTCAGCTGCTCTTTCTTTCAAGCAGCCCTGTGCGCACGTGCACTGGGCACAGGCTCCCTGGGGTCCTCTGCATCACTGCTGCCAGAGTCCACAAGCTCTAAAGGTAGCACCTCACTCTTCCATAGTCCTGGCCCCTTCCCTGCATCACACACAGGCCCCTTGTCCGAATCCTCACTATCAGAGACCACTGCCGTCCGTACCTGCTACTGGCGTACCACAACAAGGATAGAAGGAAGGACATAGCATCAAAAACATCAGTTTTAAAATTTGCTGCTTTTTTCAGTATAGGAATTTGAGACTTTCATTTGAAACCTATTTGGTGATGGATAACTCCCAACTATAATGACCAAGCACATCACTTTTGATTTATATGTGTGAAAGTATGTGATACTATACTTTTGTAATATCTCTAACACTTGCATTACACCCTTAGTAAACTGTCTGCTTGAGTTGCTATCCTATCCTATTTTATACACAAATCATTATTTTATTAGAATTATCTTTTACCAAGATAATATTTTTAAGGCACATAATTTAAATATTTATCAAACTTTTGCACAAAGCAGTGAACGTAACAATACTGTTTCCAAATAAAATATCCACATTAAATTGATTTGGTCTTTCCCACTATGAAAGATGTCCCTCTCCCCCGCCCCCACTTTTTTTTTTTTTAAATTGAATTTGCAAAATAATTTACATTTTCTTACAAGCAGAGTTTTCTCTTTCTGGTACATAAATCCATATTAAAGCAATTTAAAAATATTTACAAAGAAAACACTTATGTATTGTGTTCTGTATAGTTTCTCATCACTTCTTTTTTTTCTTCCAGTACTTGCTAGAAATGAAAAGCTTAATTTTGCCCCCTGAGCACATTCTGAAGCGTGGGGACAGTGAAGCAGTAGCCTACGCATTCTTCCATCTTCAGCACTGGAAGCGAATAGAAGGGGCCCTTAACTTGCTGCACTGCACGTGGGAAGGCAGTAAGTGTATTCTGTCAGTAATACAAACTTTTTTTTTTTTACTAGTCTAATGCAATACGATAACTTAAAACAGTAAAATGTCCTCTGACACATTTTAGCAGCATCTTTGAATTGATCACTTTGTTTTAATGGTAGTGGATTATAGTTTAAAGCCATAATCTGTTGATGGCTTACATAAACGACAGCTTGATAGTAAATTAGAATTTGAAACTATGATCTCTTGTTGACTTATAGCAACAAGACAGTTGTTATTAGCATTACAAACTTTAGATGGAATTGATGTCTGCTTTAGAAGTTTTTCTTCCTAAGGAAAATAAGAATTCATAAATCTCTTTTTCCTTCACCATATTTCTCTTTTGAACAGATACTTATTAGTCTGCTTTTCCACATTTCTGTTTTTAAAGCTGCTAAATAAAATGCGTTTAAATAAAATGACATTCTTTAACTCCCCAAATTTCACTGAATTTAATCTTTCCTTTATTGGGAAACTTAAGTCAAACTGTTATTTTCATTTTAGACTTGTTAGAAATCTAGAAAAAGATGGATTATAAGAAATCTCCTTAAATTTCTTATAAATCCATCACAAGCAGCCAAGCTTGATAATATTTTTTTGACCATATCCTAAAGATATCTATTGTTTTCAGAACACATAGAGAAAATTGCTGATTTCTGGAGATGATTTTGTAAATAAACTGTATAGAAATAGAATCAGAAATTAATTTTCACTATCAACTTCCAGACACTTTGGAATTCTCACGTTTAAATTATGGAAAAATCTAATATGTAGAGATATAGAAACCATTTTTTACCCTCCTACTGTGGCATAATTTTTAAAAATACCTGCATTGCAATTACTGCTTTGTTTATACTATATCATCCAAGAAAGTTTTCTAAATGGAATAGAGTCCTTAATTCATTATTAGGCTATACAGAAAGCAAAGCCTCTATATCAAAGTAACACAATATAGTTTGTAAGATACTTTGAGGTTTATTTTTTTTCCTGTCTAACAATACTTAGATGTCACCCTGAAGGCAGCTGTTGAAATCAAAGAGGTCAGAAGCATCATTGTTTTTATTTGAATCACAGTGATCTTACACTGTTAAATATTCAGCTATTTGCAATATTAAAATGCTGTTCAGTTTGTGAAAAATGTTACTAGGTTGCTAAAAGTAAATTTAGTGGATTTGATGAAGAAATGATGACATTGCTTAAAAAGAGTTTGATTGCAGATTCGGCAAAGAAAAGCTAAGTATGTTTTCCTGTTATCTGTTTTGAAACCGTCATTTGTATTTTTTTGGTGGATGCTAGACAAATCACACTGTATTTTATACTGATAATACTTTCAAAATTTTCATAGACAAGTTTCTTATCCTTTTTATAGACTTTACACTGAGAAATGATTTTATCAAGATCCTATATAGGTAACATTTGTAGAAATTGAGATGAGAGCTAAATACATCTACCTAAGCTATTATCTAAATAGCCCAGGTTCGAATACCAGAAGGGTATAGCTAGCTGATAAGAGCTACACCAAATTAGTCCACACCCACAGAACCAGTTGTTAAGAAATTTGAATCCCCTCTGGGTTGCCCTGATAAAAAAACACTCAATTTGTAGAAATTATAAGTAGTTTTTCTATGACTTGATTTTTTACCAATCATTTTTACCTCTCTTTCAGCATTTAGAATGATTCCATATCCATTAGAAAAGGGTCATCTATTTTATCCTTATCCCAGTTGCACAGAGACAGCAGATAGAGAGTTATTACCAAGTAAGTGGCTTTTTTCATACATTTTTTTCTTTATCTAAGGTATAGCATTTGTATAATGTATTTCTATGCAAACACATTCCATAAGACTGTAGGTTTAAATATTTTTAATTTTAAATATGGCAATCAGGAAGGGTAGTATCGATCTGCTATATCGATCTCTCTTTATGTTAAATTTTACATGTGCAGTCTTTGCAGTGCAGCTCCCTTTCTACATTGAAATTTTTACTTTATATAGCATGGTGAGAAACCTTAGTTCTTTAATCTGTTCTTGGTCTTCTGATTTCCATGAGCAATGGCTTGAATAATCAGTCATCAGGAAAGTTAGAACTGTATACTAATAGCATTTGGAGACCAAAATAATAATAAAAAATAATACATGAAAATAACTTGCAATATCCCTTCATTTCCAAGATACAAAAGTATAATATGTGATAAATGCTCTGCATATTTGAATTAAAGTCCTATTTTTGATTCAGCTGAACAAAATAAAATAAAATAACCTTCCTTTGATACATTCTTGATTAATTGTTTAGTACAAGGGAATCACATTAGGTGGTGCTTGTTCTCACATTCTTGGATCAAAACAAACATTTGAAGCATTTATTGAACAAAGCTTTCAAACTATAGGAATTGTAAATTGTACCAGTGATCTTGTGGGTTTGATTACTTTAAAGGAACTGCTTGGGTCTGAGTCAATAGTAAGGCATTTCCAGTTGCTTCTTTCTTTACTGGCAATCTGAACATATATGAATACCCTGTTTCTCAAACAATACGGCCTCCCCCAATAGGAAGTCCCAGCATGTTTTATAGGCATGAAATGAAATTAAGCCCCTCCCCCCAAATTAAGGCCTATATTAAAACATGCGAAATGGGGGGGAATGGTGGGGGGCTTGCCGTTAGGAAGTACTTTTGTTGCACACCTGGATATGGTGCTGCCTGCGTTGACCCCGATACGAAGTGCCCCACCAATGCTGGGGTCAACATTCAAGCCATCGCTGCCCGCCCGCCCAAAGATGCAAGGGGGGGGAATTAAGTCACCCCCCGCAAAAAGATGGCCTAGCCATTTTTTCGGGGCTCAAAAAAAAATAACACCCAGCCTTATTATATGAGAAACATGGTAGTGTAGAATGATACAAAGATTCCTACTCCATTTTTGGAGAGGCAAGAAGAAAATAAAAAATAGTAACTAAAAGAATTGGATAGGAGATAATAAAAGGAAAAATTAAACTAAAATTAATCTGTTTAATACCAACAGAGCTCACTTTATCTTTCTGTCATTTAAAATCTTAACTCCGTCCAGCCATTACTTTCATTCTTTTCCCTCTATTAGTTTTTCATATACATACACATATATTTACATACATATATAGATGCATGTATATATACATCATGTCTTACAGTATTTTGAGTCTACATGCAATACAATGTACTAGCTTGGAACTAAGCATACAGTGGAGAATGTATCAAAGGAAGAAATGAAACCATGATTATTGGATATTGACTCCACTACTCACAGTTTTGTCATCTGTAGATTTTATATAATTCTTTTTTAATCAGATAAAAATTACTCTATACAAATACTGTATGCAGTATTCCATGCTAAGTACAGTGATATTATGCTGTTTAGTTAGGTTGTCCTTGACTAACAATTAGGATCAGGGTTAGGGTTAGGATTAGAGTCAGTTGAAGCAAGTCAGTTGATTATGGAATTGAAGACAATATCTTTAAAAAGTTCTTACATATAATTCATATAGTTCCATATATCTAATGTTCTAGATAATTTAAAAACTCCTTTTAAATTAATGCTGTTTGTTTAATCATTTGCATAATAATGGCATCAAAGGTTATATTGTTTGTCTGCAGCACTGTGGTTCTGTTCTAGTTTATCATAAGCATGAATTAAACCCTTGCAAGATTTTTAAGGATTGACTGTTAGTGTTAGGCAGTCTGAAAATATGTTACAAATTTTTCTGTTGCTGGGTGTAAATTTTTCACATAATGTAAAGCCTTATAAACTATTGTTTCATAATACTTGCTGTTGAGGTTTTGTAAAATTATAACTGAGTCTGGTTTTTAAAAAGAATAAAATATAAGTTCTTCAGTTCACAAGAACTCAATCAAAAAAGAAGAACCAACCTCTTCCCCTGGTCCAACACCTCAAAGCCACAGGACATGAGATTGACTTTAAAAATACCAGAACTATCACCAAAACCGAACACTTCAACAACAGAATAATCAGAGAAGCCATAGAGATAGAAAAACAACCACACAGCATGAATAAACGAGATGATACCTCCCGCCTACCAGCCATTTGGAAACCCTCCCTCATTAACAAATGAGTACCTAACATGAAGAATGACACCAGACCCACACCCACGAGGGCGACACAAGATGCTACCACCACACTTCCACATAGAAAGCAGACTCACACCCACACAGATGATGAGACATGACCATGGACCAGAAGCTGTATTGCAGCTACATCACTACCTGCTTCAAACCCCTCTGACCCATACATGAAGCGAATGGATGCCCACCATGAAGATGTGGCACGACCACGAACGCGAAGCCAAACAACAGGATCACAGCTCACCAGCTCAAATCTCCCAGCAACTAAGACTAACCTGAGCACAACCAAGCCCCCACCTGAACAGAACACCCCCCCAGCCAATCAGAACACAGCCAGCCCTCCAACCAATCAGAACACAGCCAAACCCCCAACCAATGAGAACACACACACCCCAATCAGAACACAGCCAAGCCCCCACTCAATCAAGTCACACCCCCACTAGCAGTTAAAAGGAAGAAGCAGCTGCAAGCTCACATTACTCCGAGAAGCACAAAGCCGAAGACACAAGCCTGAAGATGACGAATGAGATTTCATCGAAATGTCACCAGGATACTTCCAATTTTACGCAGGAGAAAACCCAAATAACCAAAGATCCATATATATACATATATATATATTTTCTGAGGTTCTCGCGGGCATTAGTATTTACTCTGAGAAGCACAGAGCCGAAGACACAAGCCTGAAGATGATGAATGAGACTTCATCGAAACGTTGCCTAGATACTTCCAATTTTACGCGGGGAAAACCCGAATAACCAAAGATCCATATATATATGTGTGTGTGTGTATGTGTGTGTGTAATATTACTAATGCTTACTTCTTTATCTGAAAAAGAAAGAACTTTTTAAACAAATGTATTGGGAAATCTCTATTTGAATGGAGTATTTTAGGTATATAAGATACTATAGTTATTATTAGTTTAAAGTACAGAGACTTAAAAGAGAAGTTCAGAAATTTATCCTGGCTTCTACCTGTGATAGTATAAAAGAGAAATCTGTGGAGATTTTTGAATCCTGTATGAACTGAAGATATCAGAACAACGTACAGTATATAAAAAGAGTACAATTGTAACAGTGAAACCCAATTTTAATAAATAAATAACATCCAGTTACTATAATTAATTCAGTATTAATAATAAACATCAATGCAATTACAGATTAAATCTATAAAAATACAATATAAAAAATCAGTATTAAAAACAACCAAATATGTGAAAGATTTATATTCCTTATAACATATGATATAAGTTATAAATGTTTCCTAACCCAGTAGATAGCTGGAGTGACACAATATATAGTTGTAGCAATATTTTACAAATATTTAAACTGCTTTGGCATGTTCAATTTAGGAAAGGTAGAAAGAATACTCAATAGGCCTGTTTTTTAAGAGTCCTCTTTCAGCTTGTTGAAAGTTTGATAAAGTTTGTTCCTGCTCTTAATCAACCCCTTTAGTAATCTTTATTTAGAGCAAATTTTACTTGAATAGTGTTCAAGAATGATTAGTCTTCAACTCCTATGTTTTATTTAAAATGAAATTTAAGAAAACAATTATGATTCTCATTACAGTAGAAAAGCCTCAAGTATGCTTTTGTGAACTAAAATGTGGCAACATAAAATCATTTACAATTCCTAATTCATTAAATAATTGGTTTTCCTTTCTTTCAGCATTTCATGATGTGTCTGTATATCCCCAGAAAGATCTTCCTTTTTTCATCCATTTTACAGCAGGGCTATGTTCTTTCACAGCAATGTTAGCCCTTCTCACACACCAGTTTCCAGAACTCATGGTCATTTTTGCTAAAGCTGTAAGTATTGTCCCTACTCCAGGGTTTTCTTAAGATGTTTGTGAGGCATGCAGAAATTGAATGAAATTGAGACCTTCGTCTCCAGGTAGAGCCACAGATATCTAAAAATCTGATTCAACATTAATTGTGGTTTCTTTTCTTCTTTTAAGAAAAATTTATTAAAGATCAGATGAAAATCTTAAGGTTTATTTAGACCATCTTAAATTAAGAAGCAACATTTAATATGACACAATTTGGGGCTTTTAAAGTTGGGAACCTTATTCTGCCATTTCAAATAATGTTTTTGTAACTGTTAGAATTTGTTAATAATGAATGTTTACTTCATCAGCATGAAACTATTTAGATTGTAAGCTCTCTGGGCAGGAAGAAATTTTCCCTCGGTATCCCTTCCTGTTATTGGACAAATATATTATAATAAATACTTGTATATTTTCTCTTTGCCTACTAAATAAACTTGGGGGAGGATAGGGAGCTGAATGGAATTTGTAATATAGTGCTATGACCTAAGTGTTACTACCATAAATTCAAGTCTATCTGCAAATGTTTTCATCTTGCCTGAGGAGAATGTAGTGTAATAGACTAATTGATATAGTGAAATCGGAACCATGCAGAATTTTCCTATTTTTTACTTGTATTTTCAGAATATATATTTATTGAAATTTGAAAATAAAATTCAACTTGTGTGTACAATTGATTAAATCTGAAATTATGTACAGTTTTTTTGTTCTGTTAGTAATCCTGAAGAGAGAAAAAGAGGCTTTGTTTCACCTGACATCCAGTTCCAACTCATTGCATCACTTTAGACACATTGTTTTTGTAGATTCAGAGAGTTCCATCTGTATGAATTTCTAAATATTTTTGCTACCAAACTTGCTGCCCTATCTAAATGTGAGAATATAATGGACTTCAATGAGTTTTTAAATATAAGTCAAAAAACAGGATTAAACTAGCTAGAAAAATAGAATTATTATTCCAAACTGAACATCCTGCATAATCTTGAGTATCCCTTAAAAGAAACAAGAAAATACTGTTGTTAAGTATCTAATAATGAATTTTTATATTATATTGATGGACTTAATTGGACTTGTCATCAGGATCTTTCCCTTTAATAAAATTAAAAATTAACTTCCATGATATTCATTTTATGACACCAACCTGAATCTAAAATAGTACATAGTATAGTTAGTAAAATAATATATGATTTACTTCAGTATTGTTTAGTTTCTGTTCTATGGTTGTTTTTGATGACACTAAATGGTGATTTTTACTACAAACTCACCCCAAAAGCAAACTATCATTATCATAAAATTGAAGGATTTCATATCAGTAAATAGTACCATAAAATAAAACAAAATTAACAAAAAGGAACTATAAGCTAAAGAAAGCTAAAAAATTCCTCAGCAAGTGGTCAGATAGTGTAATGAACTGCTCATTTGTATATCAAAGTCTTATGTAATCAGCATTTCATTTTAATTAGGCATTACTAAAACCAGTTTGTATGATAAATAAACCTAGTTAGCACCAAATTTAAAAATTATTGTAGGAAAATGTTGCTGGATTTGTTAATGGGAAGAAAAAGCAAATCTAATCGATTAATATTGTTAGGACTGCTTTAATAAAATTGTGATTTCTGAAGATGTATCAGTCAAATTACATAATAAGATAAAATGTTACATTAACAAGCAACAGATAATTGCTTGTTTGCTTTTTTCCACTTTGTCTCACCTGTGTTGCTACAAGTCTGCTCCAGATGGCGCCCCCAACTTTAAAAATTAGTTCTGTACTATGTTCAGAAGGGGCCTGCTAAGTGTTATCATTCAATTAACAGATGGACACAATCAGTACTTTTAACAAATAGCATATGATAATTATTAATACAGAAAGCTTGAACTGATTAATGTTTGCTTTTAGATAGGTTATTTTATATGTGAATAACATTCAAAGTTTTACTTGTTGAACAAGTTTTTCCGGTGAAATTGATGCTTAAAACATCACTGAGCAGTGTTTCAACTGACAAATGGGAAAGCAGGAAGGCCTCTTTGATGTTTTCCACTTAATTTCAGTTTTATCATCTCCCATATTTTTTTCATAATCATAACAAAGTGATTCCTTATAAAATGGGAGGGGAGTAATCATTCAACTTCCCTTCTTTAAATGAGTTTTTAATAAAGAAAAAATGATTCAATGACTTTGTATGCATACCAATGTAGAATTATAAGCAATTAACTTCTGGATGAATTTTAGTATTGCATCTTTCATTTTTAACATGTAAATTGAATAAACCTCAATGGGGTGAGCTCCCATTGTCGCAGATCCTCCCCATCTAGCAGTTTGAAATCATGCAAATGCGAATAAAAAAATAGGTTCCACTTTAATGGGAAGGTAATGGCATTCCTTGCATCTCAGCAAATAGTCACGCTGGCTGCCTGACCACGGAAATGTCTTTAGACAATGCTGGCTCCCTCACCTTGAAATGGAGATGAGCACCCCATCCCCGCATGACATGACATGACTGGACAAGGGAAGCCTTTACCTTTACACTTAAAAAAATAATAATTCTGGGATAATTGATACAGTGCGGGTTTTTCATTGTCTACTCAGAAGTATTATTTACAGTTGAAGAATGCCATGTCAAATAAGGCTATGGTTTCAATTATTTCTCGTGATTAGTGGATCTGTATAAAATAAATAACATCACTGACCTTTTGTTTGAATATCCATCGATTTAAGAAATCCATCTTAATGTGATTCTGTGTGTATCTTTAACAAAATATTTACTAAATTCTAGTTTTTTTATTTGTCACTAGATATTGATTGTTTTGGGTCTGGTGGAAAGAAATAAAGTGGGATGGAAAAAATAATAGAATATCATGGCTAGAATACTGAATAGGTATTGGAGATTCCATTTAAACCGTAATAATCTTGTCTTTTAGCAAGATTCTTTTAAACATATAAATGTTTCCATGAGGGTTAGCATTATTTAACTGGAATAAAATCTTAACATTGGCATTTAATCTAATTTTCTCATGTTATTTCATAGTTTGAGTGTCAGTTAAAATGCATAGATTGCCCCTGTCTTAAAATAATCCTGTGTTTTTAAGTTTCTTGAATGCCAATTAAAATGGCATGCTATCTCAGGAAAGCATTATGGCTATTTGGGGGTTATGAGGAGACCTAGAATCATAGCAGTGGGTGTACTGTGTGTCTGAGCTGCCTGTAGAATTGCAGTCTCAAAAGAATGATCTGTTGATAATTAACTATTGTGATGGTGCAAAAATTAGGTTATGGACACAGTGTTATAGATCTTTGAAATGTGCCCCAAAGGCACTGCTGTTTGTAAGAAGTGTGCTTAAAAAAGGTGTTCCTTTGGTATACTGAGTTACTAAGCTTCACATAATTCTGTTGACCCTGATGTTATAAATTGAATCAATTCATTTTACAATCTTCTGAAAGGTTAAGGTTGGCTTTGTCCTTATGAATTTTAAATGTAGAAGATCTTGAGCAGCTGAATAACTCTTGTTGGAGCTGTGTTGAACTTTTAACACACTGAGCAAGCGTGTTAAAACTTGTTTTAAAAAGACTCAATTAGACATTTTTAATCTCTGAAGCTAAATTAAATATTAAACAACCATAAGATTTATTTATTTATTAGATTTATATGGCCATCCATCTTAAGCATCCCTGCTTAAGCAAAAAATGAGCGGCTTACAACAACCGTAAAACTAATAAACAGCAATCGTAAAATCAAAAACAATAAAACCAACACCCTACACTGTAATTGTCCCTTGAGACATCCCATAGCAGGCTCAGCCTTTTTTTTTTTTTTTGCTTCTTTTTTTTTTTTTATGTTTTGGCCTGTGTTTCATATAAAACAGATTTAATATGGATTCTCCATATTTGGCAATTGATTTGGATATTAAATAGATTTTATATTTCATAAACGTGAGCTTGGGTCCCCCTTAATTATTAGACAAAAACATTCTGGTAACAATGTAATGAAATGTGGTATGTCTGGTTTTTAGCCACCCACCCTAATTCCCAGTCTACTAAAATGTTTGAGAACTGTTTTGAATGTTCAATGTTTCTGTCTAAATATGACATTAAACAAAGATATTATACTTGTTCATTGTTTTATTGAGGAAATGATCCAAAGCTACATAATTGTGTGTGGCAAAAGTATGGGAACTTTTTCTTTCTGACGTGCCCACCCTTGGGCTGCAACTAAACATTTCTGACAACTGATGATCAGTTCTAAATGTTAACCCTTTCCTCCTTACAGAAGAGCTTCAACTTAGGGATTTTGGTTGGCTTCCTCATACGAACCTGCTTGCTTCAAGTCCTTCCACAAGGACTTAATTTCTAGGATTGTCAGGACTTTGACTTGACCACTCCCAAGCATTAACTTTCTTCTGCTTTAACCGTTTATTAAGTGTATGACTCATATACTTTTGCCACACACAAATATGTAGCTTGGATTTTTTTTCTTTAATAAATAAATGAATAAGTGTAATGTTTTTGACTTTTTTGTTTAATTGCATGGTTTAGGCTGTATTTATGAAAAAATACTGAAAATTTAAAATTCATAAACTTTGAGACCTCACTATAGGTTCATGGCTGAGAGGGAAATTGAATTCAATGTTATGTATCCTAGAACAATTTGATAATTCCAGACACAATTTCTTTCAAGGTTGTGTGTGAAAGAAGCTCAAAAGATTTTGTCCTTGTTTTTAAATTGTAAAGATCAGTACATCCTCAGACTCTTCCAAGTTCCTCATGAATACAAATTGTATTTAAAAAAACAAATAGCTCACCACTATTTTTCTCATTTTAAAGACATTTTAAGTGGACATATGAGATAACCTCAGATAATCAGTACTGTTAGTAAAAGAACAAAACTTAATATATTTATTTAGTGGAATAGCAATAATTTTTATATTTTTACTGGATCATATTTCCATTGTTTCCTGTACAATCAGATTGCCAGACAAAACTGTAGCCAAACTGCAAAATGTTACAAAGCCAAAACCCACAGAGAATCTTTTAATAGCTTTAGTGTATGCAAAATGGAATATGACAGCAAACAGCCCAGATTTGGCAGAGTTGCTCCATGGAACTGAATGGGGTCCAGTGGGGTACAGAAATGTTGGCCTACTTATGTTTCAGCTGGAAAGGGCTTCAGAATTTGAAGTCCTGCCTTCCAGAAGCTTTGGATGTCCCACTGGGAAATAGGGTTACTATAACTGAACTGCATGGTTGTTTAACATGAAGAGAGAAAAAGCCAGTAGTGTGTCCTAGACCTCTTTATTGCAAAACAAATGAAGCTGCACTAGATTTATATGCTATGAAAACGTATACATGGAATACTGACTTTGCACAACAATCTTCATCTTAATGTAGCCTTAATACAGATGCAAGTAGGATGCAACAGTTAAGGACCATCTGATATCTCTCTCCTTTCATCTTAGATGGTACCTCCTAAGAGCTGAAGTAACAGGGGTAGCTTTATTACGGAGCAATGCAAAACAGTTATTGATGACTGTTTCCAAGGTATGCATTTTCCTGTCAATAACTTGCATTTGCTTACGTTTAATTTTAAGAACCATCCCTTGACTTGAATGCTAAAGGAAATTGATTTCTTTTATCCTGTGATATTTGCAGTCAACTAAAGTTAAGACTAAGAGGTGAAATACATTATTTTGAGTAGTTTTGAGGTTGGTATAAGCTAAGGTTCCTGAGAGAAATCCATTATAATACTTTTCTATCCTGTAAATTTGCTTTGATTGATAAATATAGCTTTCAGTGACATTGTTCCTCCTGTTTGCTTTATATGAATTATACCCACATCACAAATTAGAAACATATAATAATGACTTTTAATTGTGCTTGGATTTTAATGTTAGTATATCAAAAACAAATATAATTGTCCAATGATATTCTGACCCTGAAACGCCAAGGAATTTAATTTTGTGCAGCATGCTTGAAATGGCTGTTCTAATATACTTTTTAAAACCTAGCCTGAAGAGATGAATATATATTGAGGCTTTTGGTTCCTATATCAATTCAGGTTATTATTAAGTAATCTGAAGATTTATAAAGTAAAATATTGTGCTTTCGTTGTGTTCTTGTATGCAAAGAATTTCAAATTATCTCATTAATCCTTACAATAGCATTCAACATAGTTCAGTCTTGATTATATACTGCAAGATTTAAATTGCTATCACTCTTAGGCATTATCCTATTTCAGCTCATTTAATTGACCACTGTACATTTATTTGTAGATACTTCTTGTTTTGTTTTCACAAATTAAAGTTATGCTCAGTTAAAACTTATCCAAATTAGTCTTTAATGCTAACTTGATTTCAGTTGAATTTCAGGGATCTTTTCCATACACACACTTTTAAATAGTATTTGGATGATTGGTACTACGAGTTGTGATTATGCTTTCCCAGAGAAGTAAAAAGTGCTATTTGATAGTATTCGGATTCAGAAAACAAGATTAAATATTCCCATGACAAAATGTATTTGTGTCCCCATCTTTTTATTCATTCCTCCCCTGAACATTAGTTCTTTTTATGTCTGTTTTATACAGTTTGCCTAAGATAAAGATAAAGGTTCCCCTCGCACATGTGTGCTAGTTGTTTCTGGGTCTAGGGGGCAATGCTCATCTCCATTGCAAAGCCGAAGCGCCAGCACAGTCTGAAGATATCTCTGTGGTCATGTGGCTGGCATGACTAAACGCTGAAGGTATTATCTTCCCACCAAAGTGGTCCCTATTTTTCTACTTGCATTTTACATGCTTTTGAACTGCTATGTTGGTAGAAATTGGGACAAGTAACGGGACCTCACTCCAATTACACAGCACTAGGGATTCGAACCGCTGAACTGCCAACCTTTATGATCTACAAGCTCAGTGTCTTATGCACTGAGCCACCAGGTCCCTACAGTTTGCCTACCTGCCTTTTTAAAAAAATTAAATATATTGCTTAGAACTGAGAATCTTTTCCTCTATCTCCAAAGAAAGGGTACATTTTAAAGTTAGTCATTTAGTCAATACACTTATCATTATTGGAATTTGCTGATTAGATAGGTTTGCTATTATAGAAATGATTAGTATAAAATGTTACTATATAAGTAGAGGTTACATGTTATTTTATTCTACTGTGCCAAAAAGAGTTAAAGTCAATGGTTTTCTTTTTCCATTTTATCTCAGGCTTTTCCCTCTTCCCCTTTCTTCTCCCTGGCTTTCCTATTTTCATTTTTCATTCTATTTTTGTATTTTATATTTTTATAAACTAATAAAATTTGTGGCAAAACTACATTTATTATTGTCTGAATAAGATATATATAATATATATATATATATATATATATATATATATAAAAGATAAGGAAACAATGTATCTTTAAAGGATAATAAAACTCTAATTTTGTTTTACAAAATTTCTATTAAAAAAAATTAACTCTCCCACCCCCCCCCCCCCCCCCCTTTGGAGCTCCTAAATAAGAGCTAATTATCTGATGAAGGATTGATCAGCGTATTCAATATATTGTTACATATTTTTGTTAAGACTTCAGTAATATACAGGTATTCCTCGACTTACAACCATAATTAACCCCAAAATTTCAATTGCTAAGCAAAATGGTTAAGTGAATTTTGTCCCATTTTATGACTTTTCTTGCCACAGTTTTTAAGTGAATCACTGCAGTTGTTAAGTTAATAACTCAGTTGTTAAGGAAGTTTGGCTTCCCTGTTGATTTTGCTTATAAGAAGGTTGCAAAAGTTGATTGCATAACCTTGGGACACTGGAACCATCATAAATATGAGTCAGTTGCCAAGCATCGAAATGTTGATCATGTGACCATGGGGATGCTGAAATGGTCATAAGTTGGAAAAATGGTCATAAGAGTTTATAGAGTTCATATAGCAATCCATAAAATTTATGATTAAATTAGAATAAAATGTATGAAAAATACTGACATACTAAAAGTTAAATATTTAAGACTAAATCACTAAATTTTAAAAATACTTTACAATGTTATCAAAAAATCCATACTCAGAGTAATGTAAAATAATATAGAGTAAAACAAAACAATGTTTGTTCGAATACAATTGCCAGGTTACATAAAGTTGCCTGGCAACTTTAAAGGTAAATCACTATTATGGTTTACAAGAAGTAATTAAATGTAAGATGTACTCTACTGGCGAACATGCTTAGAAATAAAGTAAAAGCAAGCGAGCAATTTCTTCATAAAATTGGCAACACAACAGTACATGGCCCATAGTTTCAGTTGTTCCCAAATGACAGGGACAGACCCTCCCTCTGAGATGAAGAAATTATCTTCCAGGAAAAATGAAGATATGCTAAAATATGCTAGGGCAAAGACCCTACAATATTTTGCAGTAGCAAGATTGTTTTAATATTTAGCCAGGGCAAAATGTTTACTTTACACACACACACACACACACACACACACACACACACACACACACACACACATCTTTAAAAGGGGAAGTTTCCAGCACTATCTCTGTGCAAATCAATTATTTGCTATTGGCAATTTCTTTAGCTTTAGAAAAACCCAAAGAATGCAGAGTTGTTATAGATAAGCCAATATTTTGTAATTTTATCTCCAAGGTGGTCTTCCAAGTTGAGTAAAAATTATCTAATAGAGTCAGTAGGTCTGGGCTCTCAGGGAAGAATGTTAGTTTAAGCCAATAGCTGATTTTACTTATTCAAGCTCAGGCTATGTCTGAATTAAGATCTACCTACCATCAAAAGGTGGCACCAAGGGACCCCAAAGATCTTCAACATCTTCAAGAGGGTAAAGTTCTTGGAGATACAGGCCTCCATTTTGCCTTGACTTGAAACTTCTAATTCGAGAGGGGATATAAAAGTCACCATTTTTAAAAATTGAACCTAAGAATGAAAGCCACACACTTCAGAATGAATTTCACAGCATGCATAATCTATGCCCCCCTCTCCTCCAGTCAGAAGGCCTGTAAAACAATCAAACAATCTAAGTTTTTAGCTTGTAGTATTTCATATTCTTTGATCTGTCAGTCATATTTTGTTAAGTGCTATTGTTTTAGAGAAGACTTGGTCTTTAGTTAATTTAGAATGAACTTTTTTTCAGCACCACACCATAGAAACCAAAAGACCTGGAAGGAGATCTTTTCTAAGTACCACAAATGAGATTGGAAGAATGGCTGCCTCATCTGAATATAGCAAAGTTGAATTCTATTATGGCAAGATGTTTATGACCTACTTAACTTAAATAATACTTATGTAATAATTTGTTCCACTGCTTTCCTTTAAAAAAAAAAGTTGTATAGAATATAATTTTAGAAAATCCAAGATACCATAGACTAATAAATATTCAGTCTGTCATATTTCATTTTTACAAACCTTATATTAGATAAAAAAGAAAACAGTTTATTTCCAGATTGCTGTACTGATTCATTAGATTGATATCATATTGATTTCCATTACAGTTCTTTTATTTCAATATTTCTTGTTGGTGACAAGAAAATGCTACATGTTGTAAACTGTTGAAAGACATACAAGAGTTCTTCCTCGGTTCTAATGATTTTATCTGTGTAATTATCAAACTCTAGAATCAATTTCTTGTAATACACAATAATTGTGCCTAATTCAATCAATGAAAAACAAAAGACAAAAGTACATTAGAACAATTTTATAGCTGTGTAGATTGTTTTCCAGCTCATAACATTTAAATTGACTTCACATTTGATCCAAGGGCCCAGGGTACATATGTGAATTCTGAGGATTTTGGCAGAAAGTATCTATTTTAAAATCAGGCTGTTTCCTTATACTGATTTCTACTTTGAGTGTTATTCCATGTCTTATTGGAATTGTTTCTTGCAGTGATCATCCTAGTGCCATGATCACTGTCATACACATACACATTGGGAAATGCTTGGAATAAAGTGCACTTGAAATATCTCTCTTTATGTAGTTAAAGAAGCCATATCCTGCTTCAGGCCTCCTTAGTTGTTTCAGAAGCTGCTTTTGAAATTGTGTAAACTTGGCGGGGGTGGGGGGGAGGTGCGTACTTTACTAATTTTTGCTTTCCTCAATTTCTCAACTATTCCAGTGCAGGAACATCTACTTTCTATAGTTATCAGTTGCAATTACAGGGCTTTTATTATTGTGGAAGTTTCCAGTGCTACTGAAAACCAAAAGGCATGGTTCATAGTTGGCATGGTCTGCATTTATATTTTCTATTGCCTTCTGTTGGTTCCAGGAGGAACTCTTAAGTTTCTTTAGTTTTACAGAATTTAAGTCTTTTAGAATTGTTTTGATTTCTTTTTTCCACTTGCTATTAACATGTATTAAATAGTTTTACGAAATGAAATTTCAAGTTTTCCTTAGAGTGTTCTTTTTAAATAAGATTAGTTTTATACTGTACTAGTTTGTCACCCAATTGTTATTTAATCTGTTGGCTTCAACACATATGCTCTTAAAGATCTGGATTCTATTTAGATCTAAAATAGATCGTGATCCTTGAATCTCAAAAAAACAGTCCTTTTCATTGTATGATCTGATTTTAGAACTGGAATAAATATCTTTAATGTTTTGTTAAGACTCATTAGGTGACATTGAAGACTTAAGCTGTTCCACAGCTGCTGAACATCTCAGATTTATAAACATTAGAAGCTTTTGCTTATCTACAAGAAATGTATATGGCTTAAAATGTGTAATGAACCAATTCTATATTTAAACCATCTGAAGTAGAGTTCCATAAATTCCATGTGTCTTTATAAATTGTATCTGAATTTATTTTATTGGTGTGAGAGAAGGATGGCATCCATAAGATTTTTTTTTTCATTTCTGTGCATAATGTCTGAAATGAAGAATTGTAGGTTGATAGTATGATGAAATTATTATAAGCACAGCTTTTAAAAAAATTCTGCATCAAAGCTCTACAGATATGTTCATGTTGGCATGACTTTCTGCTATGTTAACTTTCTGGATTAATTTTATGATATATGATCTACTAAATGCCTCAGATTGCTGACAGCAGTCATGATTGGGAAAAATATGATTAATAAATGATAGCTGAATAAATTCATAGAATCTATTTTTGTAACAAACAGTTGGGCTAAGAATCAAGATTACTATTATTACTTTTTCATGATTTGTCTATGTCTGATAAGGATAATTTTGAAATAATGAAACTGACCTAATTACTTTAAGCCTAACATTTTGAATATGCTGTATTTCATTCAAACCTGTATTATTTAAAATATTTTTATCCTACTATTTCTGTAAACATTGGTTAAATCTTCCTATTTGTTGGAACATTTTGGGACTCATCATTTTTAAATCTTTATTTTTTAAAGTACCAGCTGCTCCATCTTTATTTTTTAAAGTACCAGCTGCTCCATTTCTCCAGATTTATTGCATTATGTGTTTCAAACTAAAATTTTAAGTTTTATACAAATATTTATATAGACTTTTGTTTAAAAAAATGAAAAGGAGATAATTTTCCTCTGCCAGGCAATATCACAACTTTATTATAGTGTGATACCTAGACTATTTCCCATCCTCACTGAAGTCCACTGATATAGGCTGGAAAATATTCCTGTTTTTTCTTCAGAGGCCGAAGTTTGGGGTAATATATATTTGAATAGCTCTCTTGTTAACTTCAGCATAATTTTTTATTACACCTTTTTTTTTCTTTCAGTTTTTTGGAACTCTTTTGTCACCTTTGAGCTTCTTGATGGAGAAGATTGAACGCCTCATGCCTTCTGGTCTCTGGCATCAGCTGACCCAAATCTGAACACATCTCAGTTCACATGAACTTTAACATCAGCCCCTCTTGACTACAAAAGCATTGGCAACTAAGAGTGTGAAGGAAGACTTACTTAGCTTTGTTTTATAGGCTGTTAAAAATTGCTGTACTTAAGCCTAAAATATTGTAGATTTAAAATCCACAATTCAATGTCTGAGCGGGTGAGTGGGGAGAGGATTGTTGTACTTAAGGCTACTGCTTTCTCTCTCAGAAATTACAGAAAGCAATAAATCTGATAGATCCTATGTTGAAATTTCCTTCTGAAGTGGAGATATGCTTAAATGTTTATTAGCCAAGAATCTAACCCACAGATCTTGTCTTACTGACCACTTGCCAAGATACACAGCCCTGTAGAGGGCCCACTGCCAGTACATCAAGCCTCCTGCTTCTTGCTGTTGTTTCACTTGTTTACTTCTAAAGAAAGGAGCAGTTAACAGAAAAACAAGAAAAAAGAACCATAGCCTGCACTTGCTTTACTCTCTCTATCCTGATTTAAGGTAACAAGATGAAGAAAAGGGAGCAAGAAGTACCATAGAAATGGTACTTCTAATGCTAGCTAATGCTAGTCTTGAAAGCAGGAGATAATTCTGTTGATACTTGGCTCTGAACCATTCTTAATTATGGGGATCTTCCAACTGGTTGCTACATATTGTGTTTTTTGAGGATTATCTGATTTACAGTTATTTTTGGATTTATTTATTTGATTCTGGGTAGCAAATGGTGAATTAAAACTAATAAAATCACAAAGGGAATAAATAATACATGCATACACATGCCATGCCTAGGCCACACACAAATCCAAGCCAAGTTGTATAATTGCACAAGGCTGTCAGTATTTGGACCATCAATGTTTCAGGCATATGCTGTTCCACAGAGAATGCACAGTAAGAGATATAGACAGCACATCCCTATAATAGTTCTTTACCTTTAAGATAGGAAAGAATATAAATTTTTATTTGGACAGGATCATTTATTATACATAAGTAAATACATAGCCTGTGCAGCCTACTCATTTTATTAAGAATTTAATTGACTGCTGTGTGTCCATCTCCCCCATATTCACTGGCCTAAGCAAGTGGCAGTTCTTAGCTGACCATTGCCCATTGCAAAAGCTAACTAGGATTGGCCCTGATTTGCATTTCAATGAAAGACTACCTGGCACTCCTGAGACTTGGCCAGATTAGAGAAAGAAAATAACAGCAAACCATTTCTGTATAGTTATCCTTAAAAAGTTTATGAACTCTCTTAGATTTTCAGTATTTCTCTATAAATATGACTTAAAATGTGATCTGTCATCCACACAATTGCTAGAACTATATAAAGAGAAAACCAATTAAACAAATGACTTAACATACTTATTCATTTCTTTACTGAGGGAAAGAATACAAAGCTACATATTTGTCTATCACAAAATATGTGAACTTTTGCTTTCAGTAATTGCTGATATTTTGGAGAGGCCAAGTCCTGACCCTAATCCTAAAGAAATCTTGTGGAAGGACTTGAAGTAAGTAAGTTCATGTGAGAAATCCCACCAATATCCCTTAGTTTGGAGATACTCAATAAAGAGGAATGCATTAAAATTTCCACACCAATCTGTCAGACTGATCAGTTACTGGAAATGTTTAGTTGCAGTTATTGCTGCCCAGTGGGGCATGGCTGTCTGAAAGCAAAGATTCACGTGCTTGCCACACACAGATATGTAGCTTTGGAACAAGTTTAATATTTTAACTCATTTATTTAATTGGCTTTGTTTATCCAGTTGCCAGATTGGCATGGAGGACAGGTTATGTTTTAGGTCATATTTATGCAGAAATACTGAAAATTCAAAGGGGTTTGCAAACATTTAAACACTAACTCTGCCAAGATAACTGCTTGACTCAAGAGTGTCTTTACTTTTTTATTGTTCATCAAGGCATAAATCAGAATTTAATAAGTGGATCAGTCACTTGCACTTTTTCTTAAATTGCTCAACCATTTGTAGAGCTTGATGGAGACTGATACCTTAGGAGGAGTTTCTTAACTTCAATAGACAAAATTGATTTTTATCCTTGACCTTTGTCTATCCTGAGTCATTTATAAAGCTCAGTTTATCCCTTCCCCTTCCTTCCCTTTTCTCCCATCTAGCTATCTTCGTTTTGAACAGCAACTATATGAAGGAAAGTGGAAGAACTGAGTAATAATAGCATTTTAATATTCGATGACAGGTATATTTCTCAACTGCTGTTAGACATTATTAAGGTATGGCCAGTTTACAGGGCATACATAAACAACACAAGGATAGAAGTTTTTCTGTTGTAAAAACATACTCTGAAGTTTACACAAAATGGCTGCTCTTTCTGAGGCAAATTTTTAGTTCATAGAGATGTTTTGAAGATCATTCATTTCTGTACCTCAGTATTTTCCTTTGCTGTTTCATAAATGTATATATATTGCAATGCAGATAATGGCTTGTTATCTATAAGCCTATGATAGTGTTCTTGATTATTTGGGGATCATTCCCCATTACCACTTGATAAATATGTCACTTACCACTCTATCTGTAGTGGTGTTTGCATTCATTTGTGACGAGACAAGAAAGAGGAAACAGACGGTTGGATCTATGCAGCAACTAGGAGGTAAAACTCAAATGTTATCTGCCGAGTGAACATAAGCCACAGGGGTAGTTTCTCACGGTGGTATCTCTCTGATGATTAATGGTCATGCTGTACTCATCCAATTTCACTTTGCCATCCACAGAGGCCCATAAGGTAAGCAGCATAATGCTTTTTAAAATTGAATCTTTTCCAACTTATGTGTGGGGTTATAAATGAAGCAGAGTCTCCTGTGCATCACTCCCTAAGGCTGGTTTGTCTCACTGTCTTCTCTTTGACATGAGTATACTAGAGTGGGATAAGCTTGCAAACAGGGCTGGCAATGTTCTGCAATGTCTGTTGCTATCAATAAGTCTTATTCTGTGATGCTTTCATACACAGACACACATTTCATCTGCTAAAATATTTCTTTGTGCTGTGCTTTCAGTTCCTGATGCCACTTCATATTCCTACAGCATTGCTTCTGATTGCAGGTTTACTTAACACAGGTGTAAAATACATATTATGTTCTCTGCTGGTTATATGGAGTCTATTTGCTCCATATTAGATATCTTGATTTAATTTTGCACTCCTTGGTTTTATGTGATACATTTATCCTAAATTTTACTATTCCCAAGTAATAGTTATGGTAGTTACCAGTTGTATGAGCGATCTCACTCTTATTATTTATTTATATACTCCCTTCCTTCCTTCCTTCCTTCCTTCCTTCCTTCCTTCCTTCCTTCCTTCCTTCCTTC